ACCTGTTGCGCCACCAGGGAGGGCCCAAGGTTTAATGTATAAACCAGGTACAACAAAAGCTTAATAGCAATAACTAATAATAACATAGAGCAATTTCAACAATATCCTGTAATACAAGAACTATGGTGTCCTGCTCGCTCCAAATATCCCTGGACCCCACTTCTCCTTGGGCAACTAGAACCAGGAAGGTTTGGGCCGACACGCACATGCACTCAGAGTCGCTCCCTCCTGCAGGTAGTGGGGCAAATTCACAGCAATGATACCTGCAGGTGGTGTGATCTTTTGTAGGGATGAGGAAATGTCTGTTCAGAGAGGTTAAGTAACTTACTCGAAGTCACACAGCCGCCAGTGGACAGAGCCAGGATTTCTACTGCTGCTCTTCTGCCATCTCTGTGCTCCTGCTTCTTGTCTAAAGGCACGATGGAGATCAGCTCCTTGTCACGAGAGCCCCAAGGCCATCTTCCCCTGCGCTCCAGGCAAAGCCTCTCAGGGATCTGGAGAAAAAGAGTCACAGCCCCAAACTCCCGTTGCCGTTGCCGGCGCCTTCTGTCTACACAGGGCAGGGGCTGGCCCCAGGAGTGCATAGATAAAGGGGAGTGATAGTGATAAGGTTGCTTTGGGAACCAGGTCACAAGACTGAAGCTTAGGCCCTGAGTGCGGAAGCAGGCAGGGCACATTCCAGGTCAGAGGTCAGCACTCAGCCCTCCCAGCCCTGACTGGCCCAAACTGACTCCCCCAGTCATGAAAAGCCCCCCACAGGTTACCAAAGGGAGCCCCCCATCCTTCTTCCAGGCACACACCTGTCTCCATCACCTGCTGTTCTCTTAGCACTGGACTCCGATGGATCCCCCTTTCCTGTTCTCTACTCCGTCTCTGGTGAACCCTTTGCCTCTGGCCTGCACCCTGATTCTTCCCCTCAACTCCCCTCCCCAATTTCATAAACCTCTGTGTTTGGGGTCCCAGCCAGGAACAAAGAGGACATCGGAACTGGGGCTGGTGGCAAGATTCCGCCTTTGTTTTAGGGTCTTGTCCCCAGGCCTGGCGTCTAGGGAGCACCGGGTGAGATTGGGTAGCTCTGGGCGGAAGCTGGGGCGTGGGGGCCAGGCTGGCTCTGAGGCCAGACGGGAACTTGGCAACAGAAATTCTTCCCCAGTTGAGGGCCCGAGGGGTGCGCAGGGGTCCCCGCTGGCTTCTCCCTGAGACCTCAGTTATCCAAGATGGTGGCCGCCAGCTCCAGGAGCACTGAACTGCGGGGTTCAAGATGCGCTCTGAGAGCAAATTCAGGCCAAACTACAACGCTAAGATCATCAGTGGCACCTACTGGAGTCAGCGCTCCAAGGTACCCAACTTACCCTGGCCAGCTTCTGCCGACGCCCTCCAGTGGCTGCTAGGATTAGAGACCAAGTCCGGCCCCTGGGCAGCCCAGCGGCGGCCCATCCCGTCTGCCTGGTGTGAGGTGAGGCCAGACCACAGCGGCCGGCCTCGAGGAGGGCTCTGCTTCCTGCTGTGCCCTGCCGGGGGAGAACCAAGAGCCCACAGGGCATCTCCCCAGGAGGCACCGACCTTAAGGACATGCCCCCCAGAAGGTGGCCTGGTAGGGTGGGGGAAAGACGGGAGGGTCAGATCAGCCTGACTAGCCCAGGGTCCCTCAGCCCCTGCGGGCTAGCTGGCACACCTGCCCTCCTAGCCCGCTGGGCTCATGGTCACTCACCATCTCCACCTTATTCGTGGCTCCTATCAGGTGGGAAACAGGAAGGTGAGTTATTTTCTCTTCGGTGTGTGCTTGGTCTGGAGTGTCTCTATTCTCTGAGCACATTGCCGACAGGAACTGGGTTTGAGCTAATGGGACTCCTGGGGGCCACCAGCCCGGGTGCCAGGAAACAAAGGGGCTCTGGGCGCAGGCAGTGCCTGCTAGAACCTCCTGCCCAGCCTGGGCCAGGGCCAGGGCCTGGGCCGGCGTCTCCGCTCCTCAGGTTTTGCTCCCTTGACTTCTGTCAGGATCTCTCTTCAGCCGTGTGTGAGCAGGACGCTTCCAGGGTCGCTAGGGGCAGGGGAGAGTGGGGTCTGGGCGGGGGAGATGACAGGTGTGCTCAGCTTACCCAGTTCCCTCTACACTGCCGGGCCCAAAGTGTAGAGAACCCACAAAGGCAGTGAGTGCCTGGGGGCTCACCGCAGGGAGCAGCCACCAACCTGAGTTTCCCAAATGAACGCTGCCAGCAACTGCCCTTGAGGCAGTGTCCCTTGGGAAGACAAAGACACAAGCTAGGACCTTCTAGAACAATCTATGGAGGAAGAATGAGTGGAAAGTAGGTCGGCTGTGGCTACTGCCAATTGGGGGCATTTCTCCCACTTCTGGGTGCTTCACTGCTGGGCTTTATGGCACTGGGCCAAGCTCTGCTGGCCACTGGGCAAATGCCAGCTCACCCACGAGGCTTCAGCCTTTTTACTGAGGGTGCAACTTGCTCCACACACCCCTTTGCCTTTTCCTATTTTGTTATTTTGGCTCAGTTGCTTATTTCTTCTCTCCTTAATTTTTATCTTTGTCTTTTTTATATTTGTTGGCTTATCTTTGTCTTTTATTAATTTTTTTAAAGGTTTTATTTATGCATACAAGACCTAGGGTGTAGACCAGAGGGGTGTGTGTGGGGGTGGGGGGTGAGAGGACTCACCAGAGACAGAGCGGGGAGCAGAAGAGGCAGATCCACTGAAATCCACTGCTGAGGGGAGCAGCGGGCGGTCAGGAGAGGTCTGCCGTGCCCTGTGGGTCCCTCCCTGGCCGGGGAACGAACTCGCACTGCAGTGGCTGCAATAGCTTCCTAGTGCTGCGCTTTAACCCCTGTGCTGCCAGGGAGGGCCCTACACCCCAGTTCTTGGATGCATAAATTGAAAAGAATACTGTTGATGAAGCAGGAGTATGCTTATGCTCTGAAATTTTGGCCCTGCAGTATGTGACTTCCGAATGTCTGGAATGAGGAATAGGAGGGACACAAAGAAGTGGGCCGCGCCAAGGTGAGGGTGGGCAAAGCGCTGTCCTTGAGCCAGGGGCTGAGCCCCTCTTTCCCAAGGGACATCAGTTCTAACCTGAAAGAGCAGACACACTGGCTCTTCACCGCGAGTAACTGAAGAAACTTCTGGGAACAATGAACAAAGCCAGGCAGTCACGGCCAGGCTGACAACTGGCTGCACTTGCTGGCGACGGTGATGTGTGTATTCTAGGCAAAAGCTCGACTTTGGGAGAACTTTAATGTCACACAAGTGAACCGTGTTAGCATGCCCGGTGCTTTATGCCAGGAGGTGATGCAGAGACCATTAAATGCCCAGAGGTTTTAATGGGGCAGCGTGAGGAGTCCGGCTGGTGCGTTCATTCCCTACCCTGCAGTTAAACTTCAAGAAACTACCACTCGTCTGAGTTTTTATGTGTCAAAGGAGAGGATAGTCACAAAGATCTGAAAAGGCTATTCAGCACTCCACCCTGCTCCGATGAAATAGCCCCTGTGCTCCGGCCTCTGAGGGCCAGCGAGTCCTCGTATACTTCAAACAAAGGCGCACCTCGCCCTGGCCCGTGTGGTCTCCGAGTGTGTTCTGTAAAGGCCCATTAAAGGACACAGCCAAATGACCAGCGCTGTTTCTTTTCTCACCAGTACTAGTCATGTTCAAGTGTAATTGCTTATTTAATTTCAAAACTCAGCATTTTATTTATTTTTTAAATTGTTAATTATTTTTGCATAGAAGAACAGGGGTATAGGCTAGAGCTGTGGAGGGGTGTGGGGGATGGGAGGACTCCCCAGAAATAGGGGGAGCAGAACAGGCAGAGCTTCTGAAACCCACTGCTGAGGGGAGCAGTGGACAGACAGGAGAGGTCTGCTTCGCCCTGTGGGTCACTCCCTGGTGGGGATCGAACTGAGACTTAACCCCTGGAACACCAGGGGGACCCCAAAATGAAGCATTCAAGCAAATTTACACAGCAGTAAATCCAACTTTTGGAAGTGTGCAATTCAGTGGTCTCAAGTGTGTTCACAGGGTGGTGTGGTCATCTGGATTATCTAACTCTGGAAGTTTTCCACTTCAACATGGTGCCGCATGAGCAAACGTAGAAGTAGCGCCTGGCATCAACGCGAGTGCCTGCATACAGGCGTGAGGGCTACAGGCACATGCGTGCTATCAGCAGGCTCATCTCCTGGTTCTGGAGCCTGGAAGCCCAAGCCCAGCGCCCTCAGGCTTGACTCCCTTCTACAGTACTTTTAAAGGTCAAGACCATTCCCTGGACAACACAAACCAAGGGCCAAGGGGGTCCTGAGCAGCCTGGGCTTGGGGCACTCTCCGGGGAGGCTCCGCTTTCTGGAATTTCAGCCTTTCTGGCTTCTTTGGGGAGGCAGGGGAGCCCTTCCCGGAGGCCCGGAGACCTGCGTCAGCCCATCTGGTCTAACGGCCACACCTGCCTGTCCAGACCCCAAGAAGGGAGATAGACTGGGTCCTACAGGGATTTGCCGAGAGGGGAGGGCAGCTCTATTTCCAGACTGCGCAGGCCTGTGGGTGCCAGTGCCCCCGTGGGAGGGTTCCCCGGGCCTCCCCTGGGGCTGCTCGGGCCAGTGGAACTCGGCTGTGCTCTTGCCCCTGAGCCCCCTTCATCAAAGGCGAAATCCTTTCCACCTGGCTCGCCCTCTGGCTCTTGAGCCCTGTTGAGGTCACAGGCAGGCCTCCCGGCCAGAGACCCCGGGAAAGGCCAGGGGCAGCAGCAGGAAACCCCCAGGTGACCCTGCCTCGGCTTGGAGCTGCCCTGCTGGCCCCAGGGCACCGAGGAGAGGGTGCCCGCAAGTTCTGCTCAAGTCGCAGATCTGTGAGTCAAGCAACGTGGTGAAGCGCCGCAGCCGTTCTCACGGCAGTCCAGAGCCGCCCTCCTGGGGCGCAGCACCCCAGATGGTCCTGTGAGATGCGGACTTTCTTTAGGGGAAAGTTAGTGCACAGATGGGCTCAGGGGTGGCGATGAAGCACTCCACTGAGCTGTAGTGAGATCGCCCTTGTCCTCTGTGTTAAATGAACCTTTGCTGATTTTTATTATCATTTCATACAATCCTAGAAGGCTAACAAAGGCCAAGATGTAAAAGGAGAACGAGGATGACCTGAATCTTAGCGTTTACCGCTGTTAACCCCTCAGCCCTTCCCTTCCCTGCACCTGGAAATCTGTTTTACAGAACGTGGCTCGTGTTTGCAGGATGTTTTGCTCCCGGCCCTCCCCTGGCCGCCCCGTCTAGAACTTTGTGAGGAGCCCAGCTGGACACCGGAGAAGGGCAGGTGGACCGCAAGGCATTTTGAGCTGTGGGGCGGCCCACCTTTGGTCACTCAGGGCGAGCTCGTGCCCAGTGGTCCTACCCAAAACACCCCAAATACAGCGAGGACCACAGGAAGCTTTGGGGGTGATGGGTATAATCTCTACCTTGATTGTGGTGACTGTCTGGGTTCGGACATGTTTAAGCCCATCACACTGGTACTAAAATGTGCAGTGTTTTTCTATATCAGTTATACTCCAGCAACAATGTACATCAATATTTGAGGCACAAAGGAAATGCCTGCACTCAGCACCGGCTCCCAAGAAGGTGGCCAGCTCAGGCTTCATAAGGAAAAGGAAGAGCTGCTACATTCTTTACATGTAGCAAGTAGAAAGATTGTTGACTTCTTTATTACCTCCTCACACAGAGATTTTTTGTTGATGGAGACTACTGAGAATGGAAATTCTTGTGTGTGAGCGATGCCGGGTGAAGTGTGCAGATCAGAAGTGACAATAAACCAACCTAGTCACAGGCCCCCCTGTGGCTCAGGGGTGATGTCTCACAGGCACTAGTTTGATCCCCCAACGGGGAGCTGACCCCCAGGGCGCAGCAGCCCTCTCCTGTCTCTCCGCTGCTCCCCTCAGCAGTGTGTTTCAGTGGATCTGCCCGTTCTGCTCCCCACTCTGTCTCTGGGGAATTCTCTCACCCCGTGCCGGGCACCTCTGGACTGTACCCCAGTTCTACATGCATAAATCTTTTAAAAATAATATAATAGCTTATTTTTACATCATTTTGTGCATAAATCTTTAAAAAATTATACTTTTTAGTTTCTTAGCTTTGTGATTTCTTGTTTTGCTTTTTTTTCTTTAAGATTTATCCATCTATGCATGTATACAAGAGCTGGGGCTTAGGCCACAGGCACAAGGGTGAGAGGATTCACCGGAGACAGTGGGGAGTAGAACAGGTGGGTTTACTGAAATACATTGCTGAGGGGAGACAGGAGAGGTCTGCTACGCCCTGTGGGCCACTCCCTGGCTGGGGGATTGAACCCCAGCTGCAGTGGCTGGACAGCCTCACAGTGCCGCGACCCAACCCCTTGCATGACCAGGGAAGTGCCTGCTTTTCATTTTTCAAATCAACTGGTCATTTCAAGCACAAAAGCTGATAGAGAAGAGCTGCCTTTGCAGGACAATGGTGCATGCCAAATTAATCTGGCATCTTTATTGATAAACAATGATTTCCCAACTACCTTTTTCTTAAAAATAACTCCCCCCCCCCCTTGGGCCCTCCCTGGTGGCGCAGCGGGTTAAAGCACAGCACTGAGAAGCTTGGGCCAGTTCCGCATGAGTTCGATCCCCGCCTGCCCCGGAGGTGACCACATGGCGCGGCAGACCTCTCCTGACCCGCCTGCTGCTCCCCTCAGCAGTGGACTTCGTCGATCTGCCTGTTCTGCTCCCCACTCTGTCTCTGGTGGAGCCTCTCGCCGCCCCTGAGCCTCTGGCCTGTACCCCAGTTCTGTATGCACAAATAAATAAATCTTTAAAAAAAAAAAAAAAACTTTCCCCCACCCACTAGTCCCTGCGGATGCCCGGAATCCTTCCCGGGGCCTCGGGGTGCCCTAGGCAGGCATGCCACAGGCTGGCCCTCGGGGTGCCCTAGGCAGGCATGCCACAGGCTGGCCCGGTCTCCTGCGGGTGCCCGCCACCAGCCGGCCGGCAGCCCTGGGCGGGCAGAGCAGCGGCCACTGGGCGCTGGGCGAGCCGGTGTTTACAGGGTTCTTGTCAGCGTGGCTGACGTAACCGGGCTCCTCAGCCGCCCCTTGGGGAGATTGACTGAGTTTGTTTTCACCGTCTTGTTAAAATGCCGATTTGTTTTATTCTCAAGATCCCCCCACGCCCTTGTGTGTTTCAAAGAAAACTCGCGAGGCGGGAGCTGCCGGGTCTCCAAACTGCCCGGCGCGGGCTCGTCTCGCGCCCCTCTCGCGTTCGCTTGTTCCAGCCCCTTGAGTGAGTTGTGGACACTTCACGCACCCACCCGCCGCGCCCCGGGCTCCCTGAGGGCGTCTCCCAGACCGCTGGACCTGCGGGTGCTAGTCCCCTGCCGTGGGGGTGCGACGGTGTCCCGGGGGGTGCTAGGCCGCCTCCCGCAGCTGCC